TAATCACATAATTGATGCAAGGGTCACTTTTCACCATTGTTTGAAGAGACTGTTGTCAACAAAGAAGACTACTATACATTTTTATTTTCAATTTTATCTAATAGACCAAGATAAATGATCAAATAGTCTATTTATCTAATAGCCTAAATTTAAGATTAGCCAATATAATCTTATCTGTGACCTAAAGCTTCAATTTAATTGGCACTGAAAATCACTCTGAGCTGATTTTATGACAGCCAATCAATATCTTTAATGGGATGCTTCATGATCTCATTTCCTTGAAATAAATGTGCTAGAATAATAGAGCAGTGTGTAACTTGACTAAAGCAAACACGCTACAGTGGATCAAGATGTGCAAATAACTTATTGCTTTGCCCTTATTTTATATATTGAATTCTTCCAGTGCTGTCAATTTCAGCCACAACACTGAAGAAAGTTTTATATTTACTTCAGAGTCCCAAAATAGTGTGAAGTATTGACTGATGGTTTTACTACCCAGCCTTCTGGGTAAATATTATAATGAGAATAGCCTCTGGGAATAAAAAGAATTTCTTCTGAAATATGTAATAGGTGCAACTAACTACAGAAATTAAGTTTTCCTGATGGAAGCAGGACAGTCTCTCAGATTTTACTGTGCATGTGAATCACCTGATAATCTCGTTAAATTGCAGAATCTGGTTCAGTGTGTCTGAGAAGGATGTAGAAATTCACATTTCTAACAAGCTCCATGGAAATAAAGATGCTGCTAATATACAAACCCCACTTTGGGCAGCAAATCATTAGAAAGAAGGCGTCCTACAAGAAAGAAAGACCAAATGAAAAATAATTGATCAGTAGCTATTTGGTTCTACTCATTTTCATTATTTGAAAATAGTTATTTTTAAGACAGTTGTGCTCAGTCACGTCACTGCTGCTGATTCTCCTCTTACAAACTACAATTTCTATGCTTGTTTTTGTGTTTCAGTTCATATTTAAACTACCCAATTTATGAGAATGTTTGGAGTAGTGTGTTGATGCACTAACATATTCTCATTTTTCTGACCAGTTCAGAATAAAAGTTCAGAATAAAAATATGATCTCTTCCTTACTAACACAGAAACATAGATCAATATAGGGTAAGTGGAGTTGGCAGGTATGTTTCCAAGCTTATAAGAGAAAACAGCAGACATATTTTTTCGCTATGATATCTACTCTCCCTGTAAGAAGTGACAGAATAGTCACTTGATTGGAAAGATAGGCTTTTTCTTTTCATGAATAGAGTATGTTGTTCCTCTACCAATCCTAACTTTGACAATGATCATGAAACTATGCTTATATAGAAAATCCTTTCCAGCACATGTCTTGCCTAGTTTTACTTAGCCTTTGAAGTATTTCCCACTCTTTCAAGGTGACAACACAAGTCCCTATTTTCTTATTTCCATAGACTTCCACATCATCCTGCTCTGTTTCTTTGAGTTCTTCTTATTTCATTTTATTAGTAACTGAGGTACATCATGAATACATTCACTGTGAGTAGTTGAGTTCTTCTTGGTGACCCAGTTGAACAAGGTACCCTTCTTTCTTCACAATGACTGTTATTTTTAACTTGAGAAATCCACCTGGTCGGACCATTGCCTCTTTGTTATTCAGAGACAGCTGTTCTCATAGTCTGCCATGTCCATACTATAGTCTGCTAGGAATTATGCCAACAAGCAGGAGTTTGGCATGGGGTCAGTTTGGACCTCAGACCTCACTGACAGCTCAGCTTCACTGTGGTTTTCTGGCAACACTAGTAGATGTTCTACTAACTCAAAGAGAGTGTTGTTCTGTTGCTGTGTCTCTTCAACACACACACACACACACACACACACATATGACCACAAACACATGCACATACACACATTCACTTTCCAGTCTCCTTGGAATAAAGGGGGAAGTCTTGTAAGGAAATTGGCTGTATGCCCCTTTGCCATAGGCTATACTGTAGGTGCTCTTGATAAAGCTTGTAAAGGAACATATAGGCCTCATGAACGAAATACCTGCTTGTTCAAACTAGAAAATAAAAAATAAAAGTTGCTCCACTGCTAATTTGAAACCCCTAGAAGGAAAACTGATTGTGATTGAATGAAAGAGGCTGATGGAGGTTCCTTTGTGCTAATATCCTCCCAGCTGAGACAGCTCGATTTCCTTGACTTTTAAACAGATATCATTAAGGGCATGCTCTTAATTTAGATTCTAAGAGCAAATTTAAGAAGTCCTCTTACTAGTAACTTCTAAAATTGAATCTCTATACACCACACAAACACACACACACACACACACACATTTTTGAAAACATTTAAAAAAAGTTTTAGAAAGCCAAGATTTAGATTTGCACCAAACATCCATTATAGTCAAGATTTTCAGTAGGATCACTCACTTGCTCCAAAATTTGAGGATATTTTGAAGTTAGGTCATTGCTTTCAAAAATACAACTCTAACAACCAGAAAAGATTGGGTAGTAGGGAAATATATAGTTTCTATAAAATATACTCATGCAACTCAGAATAGTCCAAAAATAAAGCATACCAAAAGAAGTAAAAGTTGCTTCTCTACAATTAGAATATGAAATGCTATGAAGGCATATTAATTCATCTTTAAATCTCTATTCCAGTGTAAGAAATAAAGGGAATGTTCTTTCACTTATGCTTGACAATAGTGGAATATCTTGAAAAAACTAAGAGTTCTAAGAAGTTAATGGAATCCATTGTGAGTGTATTGAATGGGTTACAAAGTGAACACACAAACATGTACACATATGTGCACACACAAAACTATGTCTACACACATATTTGTAGTATAATCCAATTGTAAATAAAATATATATTATAAGTACATATTATTTTTCCACATAGTAAAATATATAGAATAATATTAAGCAAATTTTTTCTGAGAGGTAGGATTAAGTATGTTTTATTTTCATTTTGTTCATTTGCACTCTCTGATTTTTCTGGGCTGACTATTTGTTATGAATATAATAAAACCAACAACAAAGAGAGCGGAGGATTAGGGTATAGGGTACAAAATGTTCCAAGCTAACTTATAATTGTTCCTAGACCTGAGACATTCTGGAGCTCAGCCATGGAACGGAACTAACACTGAGATTAAGAATCTATTAGGGTGTTCTTCCAGTTGTTGGAAAATCTGGTCCATAGCCTGTTTTGTAATAATTTTAGTGAAACATGGCTATTCTTATTCATTTACATGTTGTCTTTGATGCTTTTGTGCTAACCAGGAGAGAGAAGTAGCTGCGACAGAGAACAAGCAGCCCAGGAAATCTAAAATATTTATTATCTGGCCTTTCTGGGGAGGAGAGGAGGCAAGAGAAGATGGGGAGGGGAAGTAAAAAAAAATGATTTGTATACATACGAACTCCCCATGATGATGAATATGTTTAATATGTATCACAAACATATTCTACTTTTTTTAAATGAAAATGTTCATTGACTCCCAACCTTTCAGGGCAATGGACTTCCAGATTGCTGCTGCATTCAGCACACAGCTTTCCACTTCAATGTTTGATTTTGTCAAAACTGGAAACACGTCATTAAGCCTGTTAGCCTTTCATTTTTCAGTACCATGGTTTAAAGTAAATTCCGTTCTGATGTGTCTAATTTAATCACATATAATTCAACAAAAGGTGCTTTAGATTTTTTTGTTCACAAAAGCACCCATACTCCTCCCAGTTGTACTTCTAGGGAGAACAGACTTCAGACCTTTAAAAAAAAATGAGTTGAAACTAAACTCAGTATCAACATGGTCAATGATGGATCCTTTTGCCCTTCTTAAAGATGATGGTTTTCACAAGGTCTGGTCTTGATAAAGTTAGGTTAGGATCCTATTTTAAAATTCAAGAGTCACAAGTTTTCATTTTTAACACAAAGATATACCCCTCAATCAAACTCCTTCCCTACATTTTATTTAACTTGGACATGGATATTAATAAAATACTATATGTTAAAGTATTCACTTAAAGTATTCTCAAGAAGTAACATTAGCCCTTCAAATTCAGAGCAGACAACCTAGGGAGGTAAGTATAAATTATTCCATGAACCCAGATCCGGAGTGTCCTAACCAAATTTGACAAACATGCATCATTCACTGGCTTGAGTTAAGTCTCTTGCATACTAATTTAAGAGACAAGCTCAGAATCCACAAACTTCCAGTCTAAATCATTTCCGGTGCTAGAGCTCACTATTCCTTTATGAAATGCAGAAGACCATGCTGAAAGACTAGGGCCCCTCACTGTCCTCTTCTCTTGGGATGTCACTGATTTCTGGAAAGGAATTGCTTTCTACACAGACATCAGATTCTTCTAAGGATTATGAACATATAAAATGGGTTAGGGAAGCAAATGTATGAAATAAACTCTAGAAAATATTTTTAGCTGAGGCTAATCTTAAGTGAAAATTTGTAGGTGTTTGTGTAAGAAAACCTCATAATTAAAGTGAATGATATCTTCAAATATGGTTTTGTAAAGTACTAAAAATTGTTGGAGTAAACAATTTTTCTTTGCTCCTTTTCTATATTGACTTCATAAAAGAATACAGAGGTATAAATTAAGGATTTCAGATTATATACTTCAGAGGAATTAAGACCTCAAAGTAATTAGATATTTCATTAGTCTTTCTTAAATATAAACTAATTTAAATATACACTGGCAATCTGTCTATATATCTATACATCTATCTAATGATCCTGGCATAAAAATATAAAGGCTGTCATTAACTATAAACATTTGAAAATAAGTCTGTATGCTCAAAAGTCCCCTATAGTGCAAGAGTTTTTCCTGTTAGACTTATATGTATATGAAATCCATATTTATTTCAGAAAAAATGATTGTTAGATTTGTCCTAGCAATTGCAGAATTATTATTTGAACCTTAAAAGTTTTTTGTTATGAATTAGTTATGAAAAATATTCTAGGTGCAATGATCACATATATTTGGTTGTTTTAGCTATTAAAAACAAACAAATACTTACACAAAATCAAATCCCCAAATCTTCAGGTTTTTTTCCTGAGGGAATTTAATTCCAAAGGAAGATGTCATGTCTTTTCTCTGTCTGTGCCAGTTTGAGCAAATTGTAAAGTACTGCATCTTTCCTGTTCGAGGAGCTGAAAAAAATTGATCCACTGATGATTTCTTTTTATAAGCTTATAGATGCCTACAAAATAAGCATAGGTTGTAGTAGTTAACTCAGGAAAGTGGCCACAGAAAATAACTAGTCCTATAGTTCTACCTGCTTATCCTAACTACCATATCATTTTCCAGAGAAAAGGAATGAACATTTAAAAAGTTTTTCTACGTGTTGGTCATGCAGTTATTGAAAAACTCACATCCTGCCCTCAAAGAATTTAAAAGCAGCCTGAGTACCTTCCAATGTGCTGCAATAGGAAGTTCTTCTTGAATTTTACGTAACATTAAGAAGAAGGTGAGCCCAAAATAGCCAAACTTCCAAATCCTAATGATCCTGAGTGGACTTTAGGAAGAAATGGCAGCAGAATACAGCTAGCAACACAATCTGAGAATCAGTGAAATGTCAGTCCATTAGCTATGTCTAGGTCCTTTTCTACAATTTAACCCACTTGTCCCCACAGCCTCTCCCCGCAAACTGTCTGATTTGCTCTAAAGCTCATCTCTCTCATACACCAAATTGCTCTTTTTAGCAGCTTTTCAGGCCATTGCTTTGTCCTTTTTGGTTCAAGACCCTCAAGTAACCCATACCTCACTAGCCTAATTCAATTTTTCAGTCTGATGCCCCTCAGCTCTTGCCTTTTAAAACATTGTTGCATATTCCTTAACTCTTGTAAAAGCCCTCCTCATCTTCCTTCTCTCTGTATCTCTGACTATCTGTCACTCTGTCTCTCTGCCTCTGTCTCTGTCTCACACACAGATAGATATATGTGTGATCAAAAATATAGTGAATGTTTCAATTCAAAAATTATTAGAGAAAAAGGTACATTGCCACCAATCGCCCTCAAAATACTCCCTCTTGGTTTAAATCCACCTACCACATAATTCTTACCACTTTCTGAAGCAGTTCTGGAAGTTCTCTCTGTGAGTATCTTTAGTTGCACAATCCTGAGTGCCTCGATGTCCTGAATCAATTCACAGTGTTCATCTTTCATGGTCTTTTGACTTTGCAGAAGAGGCAGAAGTCACATGTTGCTTAGATGCAAGGAATAAGTTGTATGAAAATATATTGTGATGATTTTGTGAGCCTGCCTTTCCATTGGTGGTTGTTGGCATTAGCATTCACCATAGTTTTGATCACAGCTTGTAAATATACTCATTATATATATATATATATGCATACACATAGCTTTTCCTACCACCATTACCCTGGTGAGCCTTCCTAACTCCACAATATATTAGGATATAAAACCATATGTATTTATCTAGTATATAAGGAGGTAAATACTGATGCGAACAGCTCATACAAGGACTCCTACCTAGCACTATGTATTTATTTTCTGGGAAGAATTTTTAAGAAAGCTTTTAGAGATGAAGAAAAGACTAGAAGGGAGAAATAATATCTGGCACGAAAGACAAGAATGTAAAACTAGAATATAAGAAATTTAAAACACAGGGGATTTAAAATATATGAGTTCATTTTCCATGAACTTTAGACATAAGAAACTATTATATCTCTTTATTTTAGAGTCAAAAAATTACATGTTTCACCATGAAAAGAGGCAAAAGGAGACATTTTTATAAGCAAGGAGATTATGGAAGAAATCAACTGAATAACACACTGTGTGTGCATTAGAAAGAAATAAAGCAGAATAATAACTTCAGGTTATGACAGAATCAGCTGATAAAATATGCCTGGGAAGAAAAATCTGTGATTTATAAAGAAACTCATATCATAATAACTTCTTTTTATATTCTGACCTGCCCTCCCATCTCTGAGCACATTCCATCTCTTGTGCAATCACACGTGGTTCCATCAAAGTCTGCTTTGTATAAATATTAACTCATCTTCAAAGACACATTCAAGTACTACTAAATTCAAATGTATTTTGTCCCTCTAGGCAGGTAATAGATTACAGCTATCAGCCTGGTTCCCTATCCCTCCTTTTCAGCAACCTTCAGAGTGAGGTTACTAACACCTTAGAGATTCAGCTAGATCAGTTTCTCATTCTAGGATGGTCATCTGGTACTCACAAAAAGCCCCAAACTAGCAGTGCTTTGTCTCTACCTCTGCTCAGAATTGCTACAGGTCTGGCTTTCACCATAGAATGTAATAAAGAATTGAATCTCACAATTTATTTCCATGTTCACTCATTTCACTAAATGATTCCCAACTTTTCCTCTTGTATCCTCCATATGCATCATGTCACATTCATAAATCTGCCCCAAGCTCCAGCCCATTTTATGAGGGACCTGCTACCTGATACTTGCGCTTTTTAAAATCAGGAGATCTTCTTCTGGTAGGTCCCCTGTTAACTTGGAATCTCAACCCTTCTTCCAGGCCTGTTCTACAAGTTTCAGTGATTCTTCTATGAACCTACCCTGGTCTCTAGATTCTATCTTCCAACCCAGGCCTTCCATATCATTAATAAAACAACATAAACACTACTCCCAGAATCATTTAATCATCCAGGGTGAGTTTTGCACTGTGTCCTATGAATGATGTACAGACTATCCTATAATTAGACACTCAGAAACATGGAAAGGCACTTAGAGATTGTGTGTTCCAACTCTCGTAGCAATGAGGACTAACAATATATAACCATATGTCCTATTTTATATTGTTTGTACAAAGGAATACTCAAGGAATACATAGGTCTTAATAAAATTTCTGACACTACATATCACCTAAGCCTTGGAGCTCCCACTGTAGACCACAGTATTATAATTAAAATGTGCAGCATATGTTATCCAGTATTAAGAGCACAGATTATGTTACCCAATATTAAGAGCAATCAGACTGATATTTACTGAGCTCTCACCAAGTTCTCTAGGCTGTGAGAATACAAAAGATGTAAGATAAATTTCCCAAACATTGTTGGGAAAAAAAGGTGCTCAGCACCTTGAGACAACCACTAAGTGTTCAGAATTCTGCCATTAGAACTACAGAGTCACCCTTCAGGAAACATAAAGCTTGGCTTTGAAGGCTGCAAAAAAATTCTGGACTGTAGGAGAGAGAAGTAAAACCAGAAGTAGAAATTGAAGGAATGGAATCCTTTAGGGTGGGCTGAGCTCAGTATGAGGCCAGGCTGATTAGAGGGAGGCTTTGTGCAGGGGCAACAGAAGATGCTAATGATACTTGTTGCTATAGGGGACTTAGAGAAAGCAGAGGAATTCTGTCCTTTGATTAGACAGCAGAGGAATTCATGAGTAGTTAATGGTTTTTCCAAGCTCCTCTCAGCTGTGACATTGAACTAGCACTTCAACCCTACTGACTTCATTCTTTGAGGTTCAACAATAGACAAAAGACAAACAGCACTGCCCACACCTTGTGTCTATGTTAAGAATAGCAATCATAATGTACTAAAAGAACCTTTTCTGAGGGACTATAATTAACATTTTAATTTTAATATCCTTGATCTGAATCTGTATTTCCTCTATTTCACAATACACACTGTAGAATCTCCAAACACCAAATTCAGTTTGATTTAGAGAAATAATTATCAAATACCCACTATATGCCATCATGTTTGGGGTTAATGATATAGAAAATCAATTCATTATCAAGGTTTTGAGTTCTTAGTTTTTAGTTTTATAATACATTCAGATGCCACATTAGCTACACATTAAAAATTCTAGCATCACTATACCAGGAATAGATTCCACACATAAAGTCACAAGATTCAGATCAGATCCCAGCATCTGAGCTTATCAGTGAATGGTGGCTGAAATTGAATTACTTCACCTTGGCCTAAAACATAGGCTGGTGTGCACTTCTGTTCTGGAGCCATAGTTCACTTTTGGAGATGTTCTAATTGCCCCTTTAGATATGGTATATCTTGTCAGCAATTCCAGTTCTTTTCTTTAATTTAATTTTATTTGTACATTTATACAATATAATGACATTCATCATTGGAAATTTGTATGTTTACAAATCTCTCTGGGTTCTTATTTTTACTGCCTTTCCCTGCCCTCCCTTCAACCCCTCTATCCCTCCCTATTTACAAAGACTTTGCATGCATTTTTTCATTATCTCATATTAATTCCATTCCCTTCTTTCCTTTCCCCTACCCTTCCCACTCCCCCTTACCCTTTGCCCCCTTTCTTCCTATTTCACATTATCTATTATACCTTTTACTCCTTAGTTACATTTTCAGTTGCTCACACTAGAGAAACTATTCAGTATTTATTCATGTATGTCCGTCCTATTTATCTCACTTAAAAGTATCACCTCAATGTGCATCCATTTAGCAATAAATGTCTCTAATTTCTCATTTTTTATGGCTGAGTAGTACTCCATTTTATTTTAAAAAAAATTTTTCTTTATCCACTCTCCAGGTGATGGGAATTTGTGCTGTGTCCAAGTTTTAGCTATTACAAATTGTGCTGCTATGAACATGGGTGTGCATATATTTCTGTGGTATGATTTTTTTAATTCTTTGGGGAAGATACCCAG